GGATGGATGGATGGATCCGGGATGGATGGATACAGGATGGATTGATTCGGGATGATTGAAATGATAATTGGATGGTTGGATACAGGATGGATACCGAATGTGTACGGGATGGGCAGAGGATGGTTGGGTTCACAGCGCAGAATGGCTGAATCTGTGAGGAGGCATAATGGAAGAGGTGTTAAAATTTTATCCACACTGTGTACCTAGCACATATATACATGCCTTCAGGCAGATGAGAATGTCATTCCAGTGACAAGTAATGACGGGTTTGGCATCCCCACGAGACGCAAAGTAGACGAGTACTTCTCTTTTAGGCTAGATGTTTGTCACCTGTCATTACACACCCGCAAACTTCAATTACGAATTTCCTTACGCCCCACAAATGATGTAGGTGTCAATCACTTTCTTCGCCATTCACCACTAATCCGACAGAACTGAAGGTTAGTCAGATTGGCATTTTAACCCACATGTCTTCTCGCCCCTAGCAACCTGTACTTTTGCATCCTTCTCACGAGTACAGGATCCTCCTGACCAGAAACTGGAGCGTAAATTATCTGTGTGGTGTGTTCTGCAGCGACACTTTACCTAAGCGGGCCTCAAGAAGATTTTGACCACAGACGCATTAATGAACGAACATTTTTGGCCACCATCACCCTGGAGAACTTGTTGGACATCCCTCAAAGGAAAGATTGGGCAAATAGTCTATCAATTCTGACGTCAATACCTCTCGACATTATAAGCGATGACAACGTCCGAATCTACCGCCATTTCACTGAGTAAAAGGAAAAATGCACAAAGCAGTGTATCATCAAGCATTGACCACTTGCCTTTTATCAGGACAGAGGCGCTGAAGCTGAGGGAGCCTTTTGACTAGAAGGATCAACATCTTTTGGATTGCACTACTGTAAAAATAATGTAATTGCCGCTACCAAATCAAACAGCAAAGTCATGAAAGCATGTGGATCCACCGTACCACAGGCCGTTGTAGTAGCTGTCAGTAGCTTTAACCTGCTAACTTTAATGCTCCCTAACTTCTCGACTGCATTGTAATGCGGACACGAAAAATCAGCACCTATTTATAGAAGTCCATTTAAGCCAAAGATAGCTCCATAGAGAACGGGAAAAAAACAAAGAAGCTTAAACCACAACTAATGAGCAACAAATTCTCATTTCAAAACACCCGCGCTCTCTTATTTTGTTCAATTAAAGCACTTAAGAAGGTTGGAGCATGAGGGTTTCCTCACTTTTCGGGGAACATTCTGCACTGTCGTAGAGACCCATGGTAGCCCATTTTGAGGGAAGGATAAAAGTTTATACAATGCACAGTGTCACATAATCGGCAGGCGAATTGTTTGCGTTGATTGATAAAGGGAGCAAATGGTGGAAATTTCAGTCTTATCACTTACCAATTCAGTAGTGAGTGCTTACTCGGTTGTCTGTGTGCTTGTGTGCGTGTGTGTGGAGACTGGAATCCCTCAATTTTAAACATCACATGCCAAATTCCACCTTAGAGTGCCTGAAGGTCACCAACCACCCAAACATCGCATTTTACTTCGATACAACGCAAGCCACGTGTGACTAAACCACGAGATCAAATTAGACTGAAGTAACCTTTTTCGGTGTGTAAATTGTGCAGTACCTAAATGGGGCAAGAGCCTTTTATTTTACTTTTTTTGGTTACATTACATAATGACGGGAGTTTCAAAAAGCCGCGGTGGGGGCGACCCGACCAATAGGAGGCAGCTGCGCCTGAAATCTAGTCAAGCCTTGTCAGCCGTGTGTTACTCACCCTTGCCGTCATATATTGTTTAATTGTAATACAAGTGTGATTTTCTTATTTTCCACATTTCGGCTTTTATTACCCACAAAGTGGGTTTTCAAGTCCTGCCATAATAATGAAACCCGACCAGTTCAATTTGTAGGTGTAATTCCTCGCACAAAATATGCATTGTCGATAAGGGGAAGTGGCTGGGGGCCACTGGCATGGTTCGGAGGCCATGCCGCCCGGTGGTGGTACAGCGGCGGAGCCCCTAAGCAGCCTGTTATAAAAAATAAGAGTGAATGAATAATTGGTTAATTGATCAAACAAGTGAACGTGACTCCACCTCTGTAACTGTACCGCTGTTAAGAGGGTACAAAATGAAACCAATTTAGGAACACACACCAGCAGGCATCTCATCTCATCCGATCTTATCCAATTACCAAATCACATATAAACACTTCAGCTTTCAAATAATGTGTTTTTAGGCCCTGCCTACCAACTCATCGCTTGACTAAACCTGGTTATTAAGAGGTCATTTGGGCAATACAAGAGTAAGAAAAATAATTTAGGTGATCAAAATAATGAGCTTTTGTTCTGCTAAAAGTGCCTCCCCTCTTCTTTAATATTTCTTTTTTTCCATAATTCTTTCTTCTGACAGATTAGTTTGCTCATTTACCTTATGATTGTGGTATTTTTTATTTTTTGGGGTGTAGGTGTGGTAGTGGTATTTTTTGTTGTAAGGAATAGGTCGATTTTTATCAGAGAGGCAAAAAAATCAAAAAAAAGGAGGGCGAAAGTCTGTATGTGACCTGAGGCGAGATGACCGAGTAACATGACTTGGGTAGACCAATAAGAGGATGAATTATTAATTAATGCAAACGCGGGTTCGGTGATAAATTGAGGGGTTTATTTCATGTTCTTTTCGCCACTTTTTTGTCTACACTTTTGTAAGAGACGAAAGTATTTATATTCTCTACATTTTCTAGATGTAATCCCCCAGATTTGGGAAGTTTTATTGGTTAATTGATTGATTCAAATAGAAATTGGAAATCGATAACTTATTGCCTATTTAACCAGTCCACCAATATCACCACTCTGTTCCTGTCCTTTGTTAACCCATTTTAATACCCAGATTTACTTCGTAGGGGTATATTTATAAATCATATTTGACAGTATTAGAGGTGCCTAAGTCAGTTAATTTACCGATTATTTTAAACTGATACAGGGAGGGGGTGCAGGGGGATTCCCTTTAATTGCACGCCTTTCCGCAATTGGAATCAAACCACTAGCAGAGAATGAGCCACCCTATTTCTCTTTCATAAATAAGGGGAAAAAATGAAACCCCGAAACTTTTTTGGAGTAAAAAGGAGTTCTTTTTACCCTTTGTCATTAATGCGTACCTATTGGTAATAATTTTATTTATGTGAATTTGATAATATCAATCTTTGGTGTAATAACTTATAAGTTTTATGCTACTGCATCAGGATTGACAGTTGACAAAGTAATCGAATTTAACTCGATGTCAATATATTACTAGGGGAGAGGGGGGGGAGCCAAAGTCTCCTTTATTAAATACCAATCACTGACTATACTTACTCGATTTTTTCATTTCTCTTCTCCTGCATTTTGAATCAAAGGTGATTTAATAACCACACTCGCCTTGTGGCCAAATTAGATTTATGCATACTGAAAAGAAGCTATCCTTCCATACGGTATGTCGGCTTGTATCAATTGATTCCGCTATTCTATTTCTCCTTTTTTTCTATGCATGCAGCCGAGGTGAGTATCTTAAAAAAAAGGAGGATCAAGGATATGAAAGATGGATTTTATTTATACAAAAAAAGGATGAATGGTTTATACTAACTGTGACAAGGCAAGGCGCCTGATCTATGTGTGCGCACGTTGGGGCGTTAAATTTAGTCCCAGCCAGACAGACCTAATGCAAAAGCCTAAATATTATTGAAAATACAGCCAAAACGAATGTCATTTTCAGGCATGATTTACCATCAGACTGTCGCAAATCTAAATGATAAATAAAAGTCGAAAGATGGTTTGTATTATTTTTAAAACTAAATCATATCCTTAAAACATGAAGCTTTTAGATGAGCAACAAGATGTTATTCAAAAAGTATTCTCTTTTCGCATCATTTCATTTATTTTAGGAGGCAAAGCTCATCCAATCGGGATTAGGTAACGACTAATCGATAACACTTATCTAGTACCTCGTGTTCTGATTGGCCTGCATTAGCCAATAAAATTAGTACCGCTTAAATCTATATCAGAGGATTTAATTATCAAGAATAAATAAAAACTTTGCTTTTTAAAACTAGGGGGAAAATATTGATGATTATTAGACCATCAAGAGTTTTAAAATCACGTCCTTTGTCTGCTTGAGTTTTAGTAAATTATCAGATTTGGTTTTGGCTTTCCTTTTATTGTAAAATAACTCAAATCTATTCAGTACTCTGCCTTTTTAAAATGCAAATGGGAGAGCAGACAAGTTTAGGTAGGAAGATGGTTATTTTTTCGTTTGAAAATAGCCGACCAGTCTAAGAGGCTCATTAAATCACAATTTTAAAACCAGACACAGCGACTTTGTTGAGTCTAATCTGTCATTCACCAGTTAGCTAGATTATTGTATGCACCACTGTTTTGTTAATATTTCAGATAAATGGGGTAAAGAACACTCTAGAATATTTTTGCATCATTTAAACGCCGGTAGAAATGATTCTGTGCAATTCAGACAGCATCGATTGATGTCTCAGTGGATATTTCTCCATGCCACATCACTGAGTAACGGGTTATGCAAGATTTAATGGATATTGCACAACTTTTATTTCATAAATAATACCCCTGCTAGTGCTTTGAGGGGGCTTAAGGCTTACACACTGAAAAAAACATCCAATTACCTAATCGGCTTCAAAGGTAGCATTGATTTAATGTCTCTGCTACCAAAAAGCATGTCATGGTACCTCTTAACAAGTTTTAAGTAGGCCACAAGTTGTGCTGCGATGCGAAGGAGCACTTGAAACCGTGAGATGATAGTGATGATACCTACTACCTACCAGCCCCCCACCCATCCTCCAACCACTCCAACTCCAGGCTCAATTGAACTTTCTATGAGAGTGTGTCATTGCATGTAGTATAAGTGACACCCATTGTAAGCACACCTGTTAGTGGATGTACTGTGAATAGCCTAAACAATTTAAATTACGCTCCAATAAGCAATTAGCCATTGATCAAAGGACCATGTCAATGCGCAACCGTAATCACCACCATCGCCATCATCATTTTCAGCACCAATCCTAACTTAACGTCATGTCTTCGCTGTCAGGAGGAGAACGAGGGAGAGAGAGAGAGAGAGAAGTAAAAAGCGCTACTAAATGGAAATTTCCAACAATTTGTAATTAACCAAACAAGAGAGCGCCAATTATAGCGATCTCTTAGAGGGTCATCATGTCTATTCATAGTCGATGCAATGGTGGCCTGATGATTCTCACATAAAGGAAGGGGAAAAAATCTTCAGCGAAGATGGTTAGATCGTTTTTTCTTGTAGTACTGGCAGGCAAGAACAAATTAATTGCTTATAGTTAATGGGAAATTTTCCACGGTGTTTAGCAAATGCAATACAATATACAAAGTAAGCAAATAAATTCATGACTTTTTGCCCAATAAACGAAGAAGTTGTGTGAATATGTGATTTTCTATTGTAAATAAAAGGTATTAATCTTTGGTGTGCTTTCGATTAGGGGATGGGAGGATGATACAGGTGGATGGATATGGGATAGATGGCTGCATGGATACAGGATTGATGGATAGATGGATAATGGCTAGACGGGTAAGTGATGGCTAAAAACTCTTGTTCAGCCTTCATTAAGTGAATATATACACTTGGAATTCTCTACACAACCGTTTAAGTTCTTCGGTGGATGAAGTGGTCCATCCCTTAAAAGTACATAGCTGAAGGTGAGTGGATCGTCTCTGGATAGGCAGTGATGTCTTCAGTCATCGGTTACACTCCGATAACCACTTCCCATCACAAAACAATCAGTCTGTCATTCAGCTAATGAACAGTCTAAAATACTACACATGAATAAAGGCTAGGCACACCATGTTCGTAGCCCGAGTAGCTTAATGTCCCTAACTTTTTAATACGCGCCTGATGAACTCATGGGCTGACCAACTTCCAACACAACTTCCCTTAGCTTAATGGATGCAGGTGTCAACGCCTTGCTTCAACATGTACTTCTAATTTGTCTGGGAACTGAAAGTCTTGTCCATTTGACGTATTAATCTCCGAGTCTTCTCGGCCCTATCAATCCGTATTTTTACATCCTTCTCAGGAGTAGGGAATCCCTCTAACCAGGAATGGGAAATGCCCAAACTCCTGATAGGCCAATGCCAGGGTCATCAAGTTCGAGACTGCTCAAGGGGTCATTACCCAACCCCACCCCTACGCGAAGGAAGAGGACACTTCCCAAAACAGCCTACAAGCAGAGTCTGGAGCTTCGGCTCCGATGCACACTCGATTTGTTAGGCGGACAAGGCTGGATCAAATCAATCGGTTGAAACCGACTGATTTGATAAAACGAGGATTCAAAGTAAGCGGTAAGCGACACAGAGCACAAAGCCTTCTTATGCCACCTGTTACAACAAGTCATGACGGCAAGTTCTGCTAAAATTCATGGGAAATTTTTTCATTTGCTCTCCTGATAAACATAACCACATGAGTTGTGCATCTTGAAAGCGCATTCCACTTTTTCGTTTGTCTCTAGCGCCCGCGCATGGTAAAGGTTAGACCTGGTGATAAAGAGACCTCAAGCGGGTGGGAGGTTAGTTTGACTGACACAGTGCAATTAGCGGTATAATTTAACATCCGCAAGGTGACCGTAGTTACTATGATGTTGCAGTTGCTAGCTGCCTCCACTTCAGCCAAGTTCTGTGTTGCTCATGACCCTGTTTCACGATGAGTCAAAGGTGGACTTGTCCTGGCATTAGTAATTTATTTCACTACTTCGTATTCATTCTTTCCAACATCTTAGCTGAGATTTTATCCGTAAATGACCTTCTTTCGTTCTTTTTTTACTTATTTATTCAATTATATGTTTTGATACCTTTCAGTGGATAAGCTAAGCATCAGCTCATTTCTTCATTCATTTATTCAGTTAATTATTTATGAATTCATACCTCTTCGCATTCCTTTCTCCGTTAACTTGTGCATTCAGCCTTTAGGGCACTCACTCACTCATCCATTTATCCGTCCTGCATACATTCTGTATCCATCCAACCATCCACCCATCCATCCTGCATCCATCCATCCCGGATCCCTCCTGTATCCATCCATCCATCCTGTATCCATCCCGGATCCATCCATCCATCCACCCATTCATCCATCCATCCATCCCGGATCCATCC